CTCTCTCTCTCTCTCTCTCTCTCTCTCTCTCTCTCTCTCTCTCTCTCTCTCTCTCTCTCTCTCTCTCTCTCTCTCTCTCTCTCTCTCTGCCTTTTGGTCTGTGTTTTTTTTTGCAGCTAGTTAGTATGGTCTCCACTCTATGAATTGGTGGCAAGTTTGGTTAAAATGACCCTTTGGCTATATTACCAGTTGTCTGATGGCAGTACGTCCTGGCTGGACAGTCAGGGGGGTCATGGACAACTCCATTTTCAGCAGTTAAAAGCACGAAAAAAAGAAACAAATGCAATAACCCATGCCATATGTCTCGTAGAAGCTGAGGGATATCTGAGGGCCTACTTGGCCGCCCTCAGCCCAGGCCGAAACAGGGGAAAAAGACCCCATATGAATTCAGGGCCTGGGCGTGTGACAGTTGACTTTAGTCAACTGTTGGTCCACTCAACAGTCAAAGTCCAAAGGTACCTAGCCCAGGCCGCTGGTCAAGCACACACACTTGTTTGTATGCAGGTACCCAGACAGCATCAGGTCCAAGGGAGAAGTCTGCAAGTGTACAATACGGGCCTTCAGATGTGAGCCAATCTGGACAACTGTGGGGAAAAACACCGAGGCCAGACAGCCTCGGCAACTGCTACTTAAGGCTGGCCTCGAGTGAGTCAAGCATTCAGTCTTGCTATGCTGCTTTGACGCTGGCTCGACTTTGACTAGACACTGGCTTCATGCTGGCGCGATGCTGGCTACACACTGGCTGTGCTCATGCGTTGCGGACGACGGCACGAGGTGGAGGCAGCATGCTGGCGCTTCGTGCATTATTCGCCAGGCTTGCTGAGGTGGCACGCTGATGTGGTGCTACCTATGGTCTACATTGCATGCTGATGTGGTGCTACCTCTGGTCTGCATTGCATGCGGATGTGGCGCTACCTATGGTCTACATTGCATGCTGATGTGGTGCTACCTCTGGTCTACATTGCATGCTGATGTGGCACTACCTCTGGTCTACTTGCATGCTGATGTGGCGCTACCTCTGGTCTACATTGCATGCTGATGTGGCGCTACCTCTGGTCTACATTGCATGCTGACATGGCGCTGCCACTGGTCTTCATTGATGATGTGGCATATGCCACCTATCTCGACTGCTGATGTGGCACTGTCCACGCTGTCTGCATGAGGTGACGGGTTGCGTGGAGGAGGAAGATCGTGATCTGTGGAGGAAGGAGGTCGGATACTCACCTGAGGTTGACGTCGTCATTGGAATCTGCTATGTCTTCACGGACTTCACGAGATTAAGTGCCACATGGCACTATTGTGTGTGGTTAGGAATATACTTATTATCATTGATGTTGTGGAGAGGGAAGAAGCCCGTAGAAGGAGAGGGATCTGAAGGGTTTATTACGGTGTGATCTCTCTTCCTCTCCTTTGTCTATTTCCCCTCCATTCTCTTCTTTTGATGGTAATGAGATACTGCTTGAGAGTTCACTTCACGATTTGGAGACTTTAATGCACACAATGAGACTACTGATGTTTGACGACTTCTGAGTACTGCCAGACTGGGTTCAGTACACAAAAATTGGGGGTGTCTTTAATTTTATTATTTTTTTATTTTTAATTTGACAACGAATTTCGATGTCATCCCAAGGCAAAAGTTGTTCAGTTTATTTTTCTGCATCATATAAGTTTTTTTTCGGATTTTTTATTTGAGTTTTTTTTTTTTTTTTTTTTTTTTTGGCGCTCGGGCTCGGACAGATTGCCCGGGGAGGATGTCCGACCGGTTGTCCGACCGGACAACCCCGGACGGTCAGGGGGCCCCTGGACGTCCGATCAGGTAACCTAGCCCTTCGGTTTTCTTATAAATGGCATGCCAAGTGGTCTGAAAATTAGGTCTCCGTTAACCTCCTCTCACCATGTCATGGGGGCGAAGACGCACTGACACTTCTTGTATATATCTATATATCAGGGTGTGTGTGTTCTTGTTTTTTGAACCCTGTAATTTATTTTCATTCTTCTGCTTTTATGGTGTTGTCGACTGCAGTTATGAGAAGCCACCCCGTGTAGATGTGGCTGATTTCCTGCAAGAGGTTACAACAGATGCAGGATTGGCATTCTTAAAAACTGGATTTGAAGCCCTTGATCTTGATGGATTTGTGGAGGCGTATGAATCATCAGACATCTACCATGATGTTTTACGTGTTGTCGACAATCAACAGGCAAGCTAGCTCAAAAGCACAATTTGATTTTTGTTTTCCCACCATTGCAACCACTCTTCAGCTCTCCCCTTCATCCACGGGCAAGCTTCGTGGCGCAATGTTGAGAATGCACTCACACCAGCACGATCATCAAAGTTTTTTGAAGTTGTGAAGTTTTAGCGACTTTAGTCCCATTTACTGGGCGAGAAAAAGGCTTTGTGGACCTTGTGGCATTGTAGTTCCCAGAGATGAGGTTTCTCAGGATAGCAGCCCAAGTGGGGCCTTTTCTGTTCCTACACTTATATCCTCATGCTCTGTGCCTGAGCTTGGTAACGGTCCCAGCTTTTTGGGGGTTGTTTGCGGAAGGATACCCGACCTCACCTATTTTTGTAATGAAAGGAAGGATTCCCGACCTCACCTACTTTTATAATGAATGGAAGTAGAAAAGGTGGACGAACATATATGACGGAGGGCTAGCAGACTGTCGTCACGAGGTCCTTTTCAGGAAAGATGGATACTGAGGCAATTCATGGTGGGGACTGGGTACTATTTGGAAGTTTCCCGCCCACCATGACCTGCCCCCGCTCCCCTTTCATTACTGAAAATGATCACGTGCCCCCAGTCCCCTGCTGATTGGTGGCTCGGGCCAGGCAGGTTAAGCCCCTTCTACTCGGCTTGTCTTTTTCATCCTTCTTATGTTCAGCATGCTTGCCGGGGATAAGTAACCGGACTGGAGCCCCCCAGAATAGAAGGGGCAGTGTGTGTGTGTGTTAAAGAAAAAAAAAAGAAGAAGAAATGATGACAAAATGGTCTGCTCAGCTCTCCCCTTCATCCACAAGCCAGGCTTCGCGGCGCAATCTTGAGAATGTTATCACACTAGGATGATCCATCCATTTATTTTTGAGTTCTGGGGGGAGAAAAAGGCTTTGTGGGCCTCGTTGCATTGTTGTTCCCAGAGATGAGGTCGTTGCAGACAGCGTCCCAAGTGGGACCTTTTCTTTTCCTAGATTTTGGATCCCTGCAAAGTGAACTGCTTGGAGATATTGCAACTTGCACTGTTGTGTGGACTCTGGCTGGTGGTAGTCTACGGCGCTGGGTGCCCTTAGGAGTAGCCATAGCCAGGTCCACTGCGAGGGAGAGACACTCGAGAGGTATTCAGAGAGGGACCTTGGTGAGGGAAAGAGAAGTAAGGCTGAGGGAGAGAGCAACCATACCTGAGAGACTGTGCTGGCTGCCATAGCTGCATCTTCTTGTGCAAAGACAATTCTTAGCTTCGAGTTATATCTCATATCATCATATGTGATTTGGTGTATGTGCATGGTGTGAGAGCATCATGTATTGTTGCTCTCAAAGCAATAGTACTTTCTGGCCATCAACTGGTGTGCTCTTTTAAAATCTACAATACTATAAGAATCGCAAACGTCATATCTACCGGCCCAGGTTGCGGCCCGGTCACCACCTGCGGACGGCCCAGATCGCAGGCCGATGAGAAAATTTTCTCATCGGCCTGCGGTCTGGGCCGTCCGCAGGTGGTGACCGGCCCTCAATCTGGGCCGTGCGATACCGGTTCGGCCCGCTCAAACGGCCCTTTTGAACGCGCCCGCACCCAGCCCTGAAATCGCCCTTCGAAGGGCCGTATATGTCCCCGCCATTCGAAGGGGCGGGCTTCTCAACCGTCTTGGGCGCTACGGCATGCTACGGCACGCTACGGCACGCTACGGTACGCTACGGCACGCGACGGCACACGACGGCACGCGACGGCATGCGACGACACTCCCTCCTACCCTACCGCTCTCTCTCTCTCTCTCTACGGCACGCGACATCACTACCTCCTACCCTACCGCTCTCTCTCTCTCTCTCTCTCTCTCTCTCTCTCTCTCTCTCTCTCTCTCTCTCTCTCTCTC